ACTATGGAGCAACAGAGACAGGGTGTTTTCTGGACATATCTCAGATGGTTTGGTGCTGCTTTGGTTTAAAGAAATTAAAAGCCTTTGATTTGAAATACATCTCTGTCCCTCACCATGGAAGGTCACTGGCAACATCATGAATTTTTAAAAGATGAAACAATCAATATTTTAAAGAAATAAATGAAATTTTTCCCCATCTTCATTTCCTTTCTGGAATAATGTTTTTTAAATCTCCAAAATTACCCTATGATGGACGTTTTGGTCTTCTTGATTAACTGTGCATGACTATGTGAAAAGGTCATTCAATTTCTCTTCCCTGTCATTATGTTTATGTAAATCTTCTAAGAATCAGCAATAAAATACTTCATCTTCCTATTTCTTTTAAAAATAAATCTTTGTTTTTACCCTCTATGGCCCCTTCCCTGAGGATTTCATCCTCTCCTGCTGCTGTTTTACTTTCAGAGTGGCTGGGCTTGTTGAAACTGCAGTCACGCTTGAAGCAGATCCTGGTGCAGCATCTGAGAGGAGCATAGATGTTCTTCCATGGAGACTTGACTTACGGTCTGGCTTCTTTTTTCATTCTCCAAATAGATAATAAAAGGCCTTTCAAGAGAAAAGATAAAGTTTCTCTCCATATATGAAGAAGTATCACAAGCAGAGACATAGCATGTTCGATATGACTGAATTGCAAGACATAAGGGAAAAGGAGCAAATGGGGGAACCAAAGGGGAATAATTCTCCTGCAAATTGTCACGCTTCTGCATTTCCAAACAACAGGCTACATGCAAACATGCTAACTCCTGCTACTGTGTCCAAAACAAGGTGTCTCCTAGCGTGGTCTGCACATCAGGCAAACTGAGGCACGCTTCCATAACCCCAGTTTGGAGCTGTTACCATTGTAAGTGTTTGGGGTAAAATCCATCTCTGCAGGAGAGGGTATTACTGCAGCGGCTGATTTTCCTCACAACACAACAGTACTACGGATGATGCAAAAGTATAATTTTTCTAATTCCTATCAAAACCCATGGGATTGAAATATTGTCTTAGGAGCCAGGTGTCTAAAAACGCTTGTCAACATGGGCTTGCTTCAAACAGGATTTTTCTTACTGTCTAGTCGTCCTAAATACTCAACTTGCTTACTTTTCCCATCCTCCTTTATTTTTTCTTCTAAGGAAAGCTTAAGAACTTGTAGGACTAAAGTGCATGTGCCTGGCACATGTAACAAGTCATAGTAACCAGAATATCCTTCATACACATGATTTTTTGAAATAAGGATGTGGTAATGAGGTTGTCATAGAAACAACTGCATTCATCACCCACAGAATGCTAAGAACAGACTGTTGTTTCTCATTCAGAGAGGAATGCAGCCAGGATGTGATCCTGAGGGCCCCCTCACTCCTCCTGAGACAACAGGCAGTAGTGGGAATTAAAGGCACTCAGCATCTCAAAGGATGAGCTCTAATTCCGGTGCACCATGAGCGTTTCAGTCTCAATGAAGACATTACGAGGCTTGATGCCTGTTCCTCTGAGCAGGCTAAATGTAGGAAGCCTTTCTTCAGGCAAACTTTCTTTGCAGGAACTGGATGCAAAAGCTTTCGATGAGATATACTAATTCTCATGCATTTGGTGATGAGCATGTTCCTAGAGAAGGGAGAGCACAAAGCCTCTAGTAACAAAGGAGGTTGGAGTGAGCAGACACTGTAAGGTTGTGTTGAAGGCAACCTTCCCTGTAGGCTTTCATAACCCTTCTGGTTAATTGTGGGCTTAAGCATTGTTTTAATAGCTTGAATGACAAAGGATCAAAGTACAGTTTGCTCACGGTGTGGATTGGTCAAAGTCTGCTTGGGTACCTGGGTACATGAAATATTTTATATCTGTTAACTTCATGTATATAAACTCTGAGCAGAAGAAGGACAAAAGACAAATAGTGGATAGCTATTTTCCAAACAAAACTTAAAGAAACTTTCAAGATTAATATGTTTATCAAATGCTACTTAATTACTAAATAATATCCAATGATGTTATTAATGGCAAGTCTAGGTGAGGTTGTTTGTTCATGGGCATATTAGCCACACTGACCTTTCCCTGTTCAGCCAGTTCTCCTCATTCCTGTTCAGCTGGGATTTTTTTCTCAGTGCTATGAAGACTGTCCTGCCACTTCGGACGTGGAAAAGGGGATCTACTATGTGGAAACAAGCCTTGCAAACAACCTTGCAATGGTCCTGCAAACCACCCTTGTGTGAGGAATTTTTGGATATGCTTTAAAGGTTCTTCACTGCTCCTATTCTCAGCCTGCTGTGGACCCAGTGTGCAACCTAGCTATCAGGTACATCCTAGGAATAAAACAAGCCACTAACGAGCACTGTACGTGGCCATAAAGTTGTTACTGAGACTTTTATTACTGCTAAGACTGATGTTGGGATGCAGTTTACTTAGAGGGGCCAGCAGAACTAAGAGACTACCCAGAAATTACTTGGAAAAATTGCTCAGGAAAAGATTTTAAAATAATTTCCACTTCTCTGCAGGTTATTTTGTAAATTACCTCAAACAGAATCCTGAAGCACAAGAGAAACAACTGCCTGTGTTCAGATCTCTTCTTTAAGACACAGCTGGTGTTACTGGCTGTCCTTGTGGCTATTTACCATATAGATTGAATTAAAGATCAATATTTTAGGCAGGTATTGTTTGTACCAAAAGGGATCCAAAAGCAGGGACAGAGTCTTCTGAAAAATTTCACCTGGGCATCTTGGTGCTGGTGTCTGCCACTTTGGTATTAAATTTTTTAGTGACCTGTGACACAGTACAAGGCTGAAATTATGAGACAGTTGCTCTGAGCTTCAGTCTTAGAGAAAATAAATTATTCATGATAAAAATACTACACAAATATTATCTCCCATTTCTCTATAACCTTCTTTGCTCCCCTTGCAAAATGTCATCTGCTTTTAAGCAACAAATAAGTTTTTAATGGGTCTTCACTCCTGTTTTTTCCTGAAGTCCCTGTACTAGACATTATAAAGGTATCATTTATTACACCATTAATTTCTTCCTCTACCGGTAAGCAAATAAGAAAACTCTTAGATTTTCCAGAAATTAAACCTTGTCTTCACAACCAGAAATCTCTCAGGATAATACACAAAAAAATCCTAATGAAGTCAAAAAAGTCCACACTTTACATACAGATTAGCAGGTAGAGCTCAAGACAATTGGAAGCTATAGCTCACCTGTGACCCTAGCTCACATGACAGCCAGCTAAAACATCTTTTTAAATACTTCCTGGTAAATCCTCAGCTTTAAAAATGAATTATAAAAGAATAATATAAAAACACAGTTACATGCTAGAGCAGTGGCTTTAATTATTATTTTTTTAAAAACAGTAATTAAAGAAAAAAAAAATTACTGAAACTTGAAGCTATTCCATGTGATTCCCATTCTTAAAACGTGCTTGTATTCATCTATTACCATGTGAACAGGGCAGTGATTACACTCCTGCCAATGTGTTAGGTTTACCAGAGCAGGATTTTCCTTGACTGGATTAAAGCAAGGGCAGACTAATTTAGTTCACAAAGGTAAATTAAATTGATAGGCTTTAATTAGGGAAAGCTCCATTTACAATCCAATATGGGGCATAAGGTTATTTGTACTCAGCACAGTCTCAGAGATGACAGCACTTTTCCTCTCTCTAATGCAAAACTCTTGAATCAAAATAATAGTTCTGTGTCCTGGACTGCATGTTCTCCTCATCCCGTCTGCCATAATCATAACCCAAATTCCACTTTGATTCCACTTTTTTTTTTCTTTAGTGAGTAAGATCAATTTGAACATGTTGCTCCTTTCTGTGCTTTCTGAAAGGTTTCTGTGAATATTCCCATTAGTCTAAAGCCTGGTTCACTGTCTTATCTTTCCCTCTATTTTATGTATACACCTAGAGATGTACATGCCACCAAACAAGCAACACTGTCTAGAGGTTGGGGCTAAATGACCAAAACTCTTTTAAAACCACAGCTTTGAATACTGGAACACCCTTTAAAACGCTTTATTCTACTGGTGCAGCTAAAGTCAGTTTTATACACAACTGTGCAGTGATGTAGCTGCATACAAGGTGTGTGATCCACCGATTAGGCTGTAAGATTTGAGCATGAAGAACAGGCTAGAATATGCTGCCAAGAAGAAAGATGCTGAAGGTGTTTTCAGAAAGGCAGAATGAAGAAGAATATTTTCAGTCTACAAAAATAATCTTTAGTAACTGTTTTAAGTTCTGTGCACAGAAAGGCATAGTAGAGACACATTTATTTTTTCTAATCTGCATGCCATTTCTCTCAAATAAGGATTCAACATCTGGACTATAAAAATACAATCATGAGAGGAAATCTATTAAAAAACTAAAACAAAACTCTTGAACACAAAGCCTGTAAAATAGAGGCTTGGGTCAAAAGCCCTCACTGACGCAGCTGGTTTTCAAAGAAATGGTAGTAGCTTTTAGCAGGAGGGTAATTGCTGAATAGTGCTCTGCACATCCTGAGTTAAGATAATACAAATAGCTGTCTGTGAAAAAAACAGATAGGCTAATGGCCAAATATCACATACTGTGCAAATTATAGATAAATTGTAGATGTAATGAATTACCTTTAAGCTGTGTTTTAATCTCACTACAAACATCTGTACTCAGACTAAACTTTTAAAGGCAAGACTCAAAGCCCACCATACTAATGCATTTTACCCCAAATAGAGGAAAACAGAGGAACATAACAGTGAATACAGTACTTTTGTGTATAATATTATCCATGTATTTTATATGAAAGATTCTCGACTACATTTTTCTTCCAGACTTTGCATAGCTAGTACAGAGATTACTACTAGTAACCTGCTAATTTAAGAACAACAGGGTAGCGTGTGCGATGGGCCATGCACTTTTGCCTATCAATAAAAATACTGTTTGTTTTCACAGCTATTTCTTTTTCTAAATTCATCCGTGTGTCTTCCAGGTTCCTCAAAGACTGTTCAGATTCCAGCAGTTTTTTCTTCAGGGATTCAATGGACTCCGTTAGTTCTTCAGCTTCACTGATCAACCTGAACAGAATTACATTAAGTAATAAAAAAAAAAGCAGAAGCCAGTCGGTGTTCAAAAAGACATATGAACTGTAATAGGAATAAAGATCAACAACTATAGAATCATAATACTCAACAACAAAGGACTTCAGAGAGGTCTTACATACTCGGTCAAAAGCAGAGTTCACTTTCACAGCTTTTGTACAGAAGTCTCCCATGATTTAGATAGTACCAAGAATGTCTTTTGCCGCTAAGCACAGTGGAACTATCCATCCTCCCCTTCTCCCACTCTGTAGAACACTTGTACTAAGAATTATAGGACAGAAATTGTTAGGTAAGTCACCCACTTTGACTGGATCCGCATGTTGTTAAGCCTGTTTTTTGATATCTGTTCAGTGGTATAAAACTCAAGTATTAAAGGTGATACTTGCACCAGAGATCAGAAAACAGGCTTTACTTTAAAAGCATATAAGCTTTTAAAGAAGCAGCAGCACATCATTTTAAAAAAAGCAGCAAACCATTTTTAAAGAAGCACATAATTTCAACTGAAAGTCAGTGAAGGTTAGGCGCTTTACTGCAATCTGCCTGCAGTGAAGACACATATTTACTTCCTGGGAAAACAAGATCCCTGTGTGCTATGCAAACTGAGTAACTGCAAACAGTATAAGCCTGGCAATTAAACACATGCCCATTCAGCAAAGGACTTGCTTGTGTCCTTAAATCCCATTAAAGGCAATGTACATACTGAAAAGCTTGCACATGGATGGTTTGCTGAATCAGGACCTTAAATGAGTGTGCCTGAGATGGTATAAAACATTTGGATTAACTATAACTTCTTCCTCACTGTATAAAGAACAGCATGTTGGCTTTGAATGGTAGGCACCTTTGCTACAAGGATATTGTAAGCCTGCAAAAGCTGATTCCACACTTTTCCTAAGGGTAGGAAAATGTGAAGGAGGAGAATCAATTACAAAGCTTATAATGAGATCAAAACTGACAAATGTGACACTCAGACCTTTAATTTGAAAGGATTTGTTGACTTCCAGTTTTAAAACGGATTATTACTGAAAATCAAATGCCACCAGCCTAATGCATTGTAGTACTGAAGACTTGTCTCAGACTATGAATATGTGCAGCCCGTTAACATTCTCAGCACTTAAAGCATAAGTAATTCGGCACATATTCCACATTGTGGTGAACTTTGGCTAACAGCAAAAGGGTTGCAAAAGATCCACATGCTGTCAGATTTTTTTTGGATGATCTAAATCAAAAAGAAACCACACAGTTCAGAGAAGCAAGCATAGAGACAAAAGGCAGAGTTGAGTCTATAGATTTTCTATTTGTCAATACATTAGGCTAAAATGATATTTTCTTCACAGTGATATCAGTCAACTGAATTATTTCTGACTTATACCAGAATCAAAACTAGTAATAAAAGCTAAAGGCTGTATGTGGCTAATAAAAACTGCAAAAACTGTCTAACATCACTTTTGGATAAAATGGACACCTTGGAGGACTTGTTTAATAGTGTTTACCTGAATTGTGCTTCATCTCTGCAGAGCTCTACATTGGGCCTAAAAGACCTGTCATACAGCCTTGTTTGAGCAACTTTCATTGGGGCTTCTTTGTCTTTGATAGCTTGTTTGAGAGCAGCAATGTTAGCTTCTTGATCTCCAATCTCCTTAAGGACCTAAAGAGGGTACTCAAGAAAAAAAACTGTTTAAAAAAAGATACACATCGTCTCTGTGCATGCTATACATCTGTTCATGGTCCTAGTGAATCAGTTATAGTTTTGACCTCCTATCTGGCCAGAATATAGAAGAACTAGGAGTACAAAGGTGTTTTTGACCTCTTTATTTCAACTACTACACTGAGAATCTGATCTTCGGTCTAAAAAGAAGTAGAAAATATTCTGCAGCATCTTCAAAAACTCTTCCATGACAACAAAACTCTTCTCCTGACAACACCTCCCACCTCCATGAATTGCTTTTAATTGTAAATTTTTAACTGTAGTTTATCCAAGAAAAAATCAAGTTATTTCGAATGAGATTAAGAACTGCTGATCAGCTTGGAAATGCATGGGTTTCTGGCATTAGTGAAGAAAATGGAAAAGACGGGAAATTCTGAATCCCTTCTCCCTCATAACCACTGACGCACATGCAAAAAATAAAGTCTACGCAGCTGTCATTACCCAACAGGTGTAAGGAATGACTGTTTCTTCCACACTTGCCAATGGCCTAAAACAGAAGTAGGAGCTGCTCCACATTGGAGAAGGGGCAGAGGCTGAAGACACCTCTTGTCACTTGCCAGGAACTGCTGATGATGATACTACTGCAGCACAGCATGGCTTTCATTCCATTAAAGTGATGACCAGGCTAGCCTGGGAATCCTGACCCAAGGATCAGCTCCTTGATCACACAGTTTTAGGTTTTAGTTCAGCAAGACATGGAAGAAAGTGTTTAATTTTCTTCATATTTAAGTCCATCTCTTGTTCAGAGAAGCACAACAGATAGCAGAAAAAGCTACAATCCAGCTCAAAGGCTCTTATCAGATACTAAGCTGACACAAAATAGCATTCGATACCTGACATGGACTAAGACTTTTTTTTCTAGAGGATAAATCTACTGTGACCTTCTCCAAGGAGACTATAACGCCTGTAGCCAGCGTTCAAAAAATAACACTTACTTTTTTCAAATGATGCTCTAGTTTGTGTTTTGTATCATCCAGCTCCTCACAGTGTTTGGCAAAAGCCTCATTAACGGCAGCACATTGCATCCTCAGGTCGTCAGATACATCATGAAGAATATTGTCAATCAAGGCACGAAGATTGATGGAAGCCAGTTTTTCTCGTTCTGCCCTATAGATGTTGTCATGACTGAACTTGGCCCATGTCTCCGGTGTTGAGGCACTGGAAGAAGAGGTGAATGGTATACAAATAGGAACCTTGCTCTTTTGTTCACGTTGCACTTAAGAAGACAATCTGAAGCTGGTTCTCTCCCTGCAAAAGTGTTGTCAACCTCTATTTGTTTTTGCTGTTAATGCAGTCTAGACTTACCATGAAGGAAGAAGACTAATCCTTTATAAAATCAATAAACTCTCGTTCATCTTGTGGCTTCTGAGGGAAGTAATACATGACACAAAATCATCCAAAGTTCTTCCGTCTTTAGCTAATACTACTAAGGCAAAAAAAGTATACACATACTTTTTTGTGCAAGCACAACCAGTTAAATCACCAGCAAATGAACACATGAATATATTCAAGCTTTACAGTCTGCGTATACTTTGAAACAAAAAGAAACAAGACCTCTGGTTATACTTTGTCATGTTGAGCAGCAGAAGGAACTACATAGCACTTGGGACGCTGCATCATATGAACACTGCCTGAAAGAGGAAGGGAAAGCAGCACGATTTATTGTAATAGTAATCCTCTCTGTGTACAGGAAGCAGCACTTGCCTTTCCCGAAAGAAAGGCATGCCTGCTGATGTCAAACAGTAAGTCTCAATAGGATTTAGATCAGCCTTTAAAAGTATAAAGCCAATTATTTCTAAGGAAAACTTCTACAAGCTCAGTTGGCATATAGTGAACCAGCTTTGCCATCAGTGCTATGCCATGCTGAGATGGTAGCACTACCTTTACTATCCATGTTGCTATTTTAAAGCTATGACATTTTATGTCCAAAGAAGCAGCAATCACACCTTTAATTCAGAGCAGCATTACAGCTTTTACTGATGCAAAGGATGTATTGTATCTTACCAGGGTTATTTGTGACAGTAACTACTCACCTCTCTTCAAACTTCACTGAACTAGGATGGAACTGGATGTTGGTGCTCTGGTTACTGTATCTTCCACATTTATCATCAATGTTGTACGTTTCAACTTTGTCTGACCAGTCCATTTCACAAACCTCTTTGAGATCTCGATTTAATCTGAAAAACCATTATTATCACACATTGTTAGTGGAAAACAATACTACTAACAAAACTATCACAGACATTTGTGAAGCTAGGGTCTAAGCCTTTGCCTTTTGTCAAAGAGCAATGAGAACATAAACTTCCCTTTTTGTCTTGAAAATCCTAACCAAACTCTCTCTCCCACAACTATCTGCTAGAAGGACAGTAAGTCTGATGTGTTAACCATACCCTAGACCTTCAGTACTGTTCTGTGCCTACTGAAGGCTTAGAGCTTTTATAGCCTGAGACAAAGGAGTTGTTGGAGTTCGGATTTTACATAATAATCCTAAAGCACATGGGACTTTTTCAATAGTGGTGACAGCTGCAGTTATTATGGGGAGAATAGGTAGGAGGTTTGCCCAACAGAACACTCTTCTCATGATAGGACATCAGGTAGCGCTAGTAGAAGACCCATCCTCCTCCTTAGCTAGTATATTGAGTGCGACTCAAATTTAAGATCTCCATAAAGTGACGCTATATCATTCTCCAAGCCCTCCTACCTAGCCTTTCAAAGACTGTAGCATGCAGACAGTGTAATTTGTCCTTGGAAGATACAAGTACAATGATATTCAGAGTTAAAACTGTTGCTTTGTTGTCAATTAAATGAGTCACACATCACCCAATTAATTAGAATGACTTCAGATTACAGAAGACAGTGGGTCGTGATCAGCTGTTAACACCAGATGTCACTCTCACCTAAGGAATTAAAAAGACTCTGCTGGCCAATGATACTAAAGATACTAAACCATGGTACTAAATGGTACTAAAACGATCTTAAAACAATTATAAAAAGCAAAGCCTAAACTCAGTAGACTCCTCTCATACTCTAATTGATGTAACAGAACTACTTTAAATTGCTTTGCATTTATAGACATTCTTTCTAAAAACAGTATTTCGTTTTATCTGGTAGAATAGCACAAATTGGAGCAGATTAAAAAAATTTATAAACTAAAATATCAAGGTTGCCAGCAGTTAAGTCCTTCATATTGATGCACCTTAGGATTTGGGTAATATCTTTCCAAAGGGCTTGTTATAAATTAAAAGCAAATATTCCTTTTGAAATGCAATGAACATCCATACCGATACAGAAGGTAGAGTGAAGTTTCATATTTTAAGTTCATACTGACATCTGGTGGCAAAATACTCATCTTGAAAAGGTCCTTTGATCAGATAAATTATGTTAAAAGAGCCTATACTACAAATATATCACAAGGTGCAACAAGGTAGAGTGGTATCCAGATAATATTTTTATTGCACTTAAGTTTAGTGTTGGAAAATTAGAGAATTGAATACACATACTGGAAACGAGGACTGAAAATCTAAAGCATGGCTTTAGGGCATGGCTCTTACCTTACCTTACCCTACTTGAAAATCCTGAAGTTTCATCACTGAGTACCTCTTTTCAGGTTTAAATGGAATTCACACGGCTCATAAGCCTGGCATTGGTAAGATCTTTATCCACTGGGCATTGTACCCCATATGGCAAGAATTATTTGGGTATATAAATTAGCTACTAAGGTATTGTGAAAAATATCTTACCGCATCTGGTTACCAGCTTGCATCAAAGTTCTTTTCAAAAGCTCCCGGATATTTCTGATAAGTTCAGCTTCCTAGATAAAAACATTAAAACTTCTGTAATATCCAGAGCAGTACATACTGTCCTGCAGAGCAATTTGATTTCAATGGTTGTGGATAAATACTTAAATCTGCTCATTCCCACTCTTACCCTATTATTGCAAGGTATGATTTTCTGAGGAGTTAGCCAGTACTGAGGTAACTCAGCTGTAAGTCTAAGGTGGCAGCAATACTTGGAATACTTCTAAAGCCTGGGGATTCATTATTTTCATATTGCATGTGTATTCTATGTTCTATCAGATTAAACAGAATATCTGAATTACTTGCACAGCCTTGAAGTAGGGAAAAATAAGGCAACAGCATCATGCTCAGCAGGAGACCAGAGTCACTGCCTTGCACAAACGCAAGGTGCCATTTTAAAACTGAGCAGGACACCGTCTGCCCTGCAAGCACAAACTCAGATGTCAGAGGCTGCTGCCTTGCACAGGGATGTGATGGAGCAGATCAGCTTCTCTGGCAAGACACTGGCTTCCAGAACCTCCTGAGTCCTTGCAGATACCTTCAGAGCTCGCTACTTTGTTCTGTAGTAAGCGTTTTATCTGTATGCAAGGCAGAGGCTTCCCATCAGATTCCTGCAGATCTCCAAAAATGCAGTTTGTCTGACACATGGTGATAAGGTGCTATTTAGCATAAAGGAGTGGCAGTATCATAATCTTCTGTTGGCTTGCCTCTTTTGAATGCTTTGTATTAACTACAAAAAGAAGTTACTACTCTATGATTTAAACAGCTATTGTCTGCTTCAGCAGGTATAGAAAAGTTGCCATAATATAAACCCAATGACACTTACACCTTTAATTTTTTTATTGGATCTATTTATTCCAGAACTCATTTTGCCTCTGGTGATGGACAGGATCGAGGACTGCAGAATTATCTCAAATATGCAGTGTTGTTTGAGGGGTCAATTTCCTCTGAGCTTCTGCTCAAAGCACGAAGCTTTGCCTTACCTTGATAATGGATCAGATGTCTGAAGTTTCAGGTCAAGCTGGTTTTAGCATGAATGTTCATTTCAACACAATTGTGACCAAACCAAAAAAGACCATACTTTCTAATAATCTCTTGTGGAACAAAAAGTACTTGGTGCTCATTTTTGATTATAATAATGCTGCTTTAGGGATTAACTATCAATGCCCTATTAAATGATTTTACTGACCTGGTGATTACATATTATTATATAAAAGCCAGTCCAGCAAGCATTTTCTTTTTTATTATTTAAAGGAATTTAATATTTGAGGCTCGGATATTAAAAAGAGCTTTTGTAGATGAAAAACTCCTAATTAATTTTGCTTTTTTACATCAATGACAGTCATCCAATGACAGCTAAGGGAGTATATACTTACTAATAAACTTTATTCCTAGAACACTGCTGGCACCCGTTGGTCCTTGTACTGTTTTTGACAAATAAATGAGTGCGTATGTCCCTGCAGTGTCAGTTTCTCCATCATAAGAAACCAACAGGGACCATAAAAAAGATCATTTTTTTCTAAATGGAAAAGGACAGTCACGATTAACTAAAACCCAGAAAGAAAATATTATTTTTAAGGCTCTAAAAGAGCACAATTAAAACAAATACATAGCTAAAGCATCATTTTACAAACTGTGAGAACACTAAAACTCACTTTCTGCAGGGAGGAAGTATTACAACGGCTGAGCTGTCAAAGTAAAAATTCAAAAGGATTTTAAAGGGTTCAAAAGATCCAGCACTCAAAATTACATTTATAGTAATTGATATTATTTTATGTTGGATAGTCAGTCTCTATGTAAATGAAGAAACAAGCAGTTTCGTGTGAGTAATGTGCACAATTTTAATTGAGAAAATCCTTCCTTTAGCAATTAAGGTCTCTCACATGGAAAGAGCGAAATAATGCAAAAATAAAGAATTCCCTTGTTGAATGACCTAAATAGAAATTAAAAATTGAATCCCTGTTCAGGAGATATGCATTCAAATATGACATTTAAAACCGAAGATACGGTTCTCATAATTAATGGCAGTGTAAGACTAGTTAGAGTGAATAAGCAGGTGTAAATGGCAATGAATTTTCAACACTTACCAACTAAATGATTTTTCTTAACTTTTAAAACAGTTAAAAAGTCAGATTGTATGACTGGGAGAAGCTGTGGCACTAGGTTGAAGATGAAGATCATTTGATCTAGGTCCCTCAGTCCTGGCTGTATTGTTAGGCATCACGGTACAATCCAGGCTGCTGCCCACCCATAGCTGTGGCTGGCTCGTGGGATCGACGTGGGAGAAGGTCCACGCTGCATGAGCTCCTGCCAGGTAGCACTACCTGCAGAGGAGCCAGAGCTGGGAATCTCGTACACCATGTGGAGGGCTTAGAAAATGCCATGTCTGCTCCTTCACATTTTCTTTGCAGAGTAAATTCCATCAACAACCATGGCAGAGACAGCTGCAGCCACAAACACAGTTCTCCCAGACTTTGTGATTTCAGCCATAAAAATGTGGGTGAAATCCTGGGGGCAGATCTGGGTTTTAGCAAGTAGCAGACTAGATAACCTTTATGTAGTGTGTGCACAGAATTGTGTTGGCAATTCATTTGAAGGCCCAGTCTGCATTAAGAGAGGAAAAGCACGTGAAGGAGTTTTAGCAGCTAGCAGCATCTCTGGTTCAGAGGACAACATTAACTGAGATTTGCATTTCTTCAGTTCATGAGAGGACTTAGTGGATGAAATGCCTTTTTTTTCTCCTTATTTTTCCCATATATATCTTCATGTGCTGTCTATTAAAATGAAATACTGTCAAATCTGAACTGATCTTGGCTTCTTTTCAGCTGTCTTCTCCACAGTTAATACTAATAATAAACTTCTGTTATTATAAATGGTTGTCAATTAACAGGGACAGAAAATTTAATAGTTTAGTGTGACATTTATTTTATTACAGTATTTAATGTTTATGATGCAAAAGAGGGTTTTCCTCAAATCTAGTGATAAAACCATCCCAGTTCATGACTTTGTAAGTGTCTAATTAATGGTGCAGAGAAAATGTTTAAGAGCAGATGTTTGTGCCTTCCGTGAATTTACAAATTCAGGTTTTTTGCAGCCTGTCTTCTTACATCAGTGACTTGCAGATATCAGCAATGTCTAAATACAGCACCCAGGGCCAGAATGACACGGTGAGAGAGAAGCTAAGAGGAACTGGTAGAACCCCGTGAGAGAGACTGTGCAGTCACCCTTGATTACAAATCCTGCTGCATCCATCCATCAGTAACAACACGACACCAGATATCCCACACATCAGCACAGCAAATAAAAGCAAGCTAGCTTACAGATCTCACTAGATTTAGACCCCCAAGAGCAAGTAACAGGAAGAATCTTATTCATTACAGCTGGGAGTGAAAGCAGGTAACAGTCTTCAAAAGAAGAGGAAATGCCTCTGGCGGGCAGACACCAGAGGGGGAAATGCTGCTGGCAGGCAGAGGCCAGAAGGGGAAATGCAGCAGGCTGGCATACACCAGAAGTGGAAATGCCACCAGCCCGTAGTCGCCACCGGCAGGCAGGTGAAGGAAGGTGAAATGCCGCCGGCAGGCAGATGCAGGAAGTGGAAATGCCGCCGGTGGGCAGACGCAAGAAGGGGGAAATGCTGCTGGCGGGCAGACGCCAGAAGGGGAAATACCACTGGCGGGTAGATGCCAGAAGGAGAAATGCCGCCAGCAGGCAGATTGCCACCGGCAGGCAGTCGCCAGAACGGGAAATGCCACCAGCAGGCAGTCGCCAGAAGGGGAAATGCCGCCGGCAGGCAGACGCCAGAAGGGGAAATGCCACCAGTAGGCAGATGCTAGAAGGGGAAATGCCACCGGCAGGCAGTCGCCAGAACGGGAAATGCCACCAGCAGGCAGTCGCCAGAAGGGGAAATGCCGCCGGCAGGCAGACGCCAGAAGGGGAAATGCCACCAGTAGGCAGATGCTAGAAGGGGAAATGCCACCGGCAGGCAGTCGCCAGAACGGGAAATGCCACCAGCAGGCAGTCGCCAGAAGGGGAAATGCCGCCGGCAGGCAGACGCCAGAAGGGGAAATGCCGCCGGCAGGCAGACGCCAGAAGGGGAAATGCTGCTGGCAGGCAGTCGCCAGAAGGGGGAAATGCTGCTGGCAGGCAGACACCAAAAGGGGAAATGCCGCCGGCAGGCAGATGCCAGAATCAACAAATCAACACTCTGAGGCTGGGTTAAAAAAATGGCATAAATGTAAGTACATCCACTTATTCCACAGTCATATTTGGCACTCAGTTAATGAGTCTGGACACTGGACATGTGGAAATAATGTTGAAATGCAGTATATATTCAGCTGAAACATGATTTACTGACAGTATACCACCATGTGGCAAGTCTTTTGCTAAGGCTTACATTGTCAATATTAAATGCGTGCACATAAACATACTAAACTGTCATTAAACTGATGCAAAGGGGATTCAGAGGAGACGTCATATGGGTTATGAAACTCAAAAACCTCATAGAAAATAGATGCATGTACTGCTTTTTCTGAATTCAGCTATTTCCAATGCAGCAGCAGAAAGAAAGAAAATTATTCTACTTGAGAGATTTTATCTTCTTTTTAGTCATCAAAGATCCTTCTTTATTGGAAAAACAATTGTGTCTTCAGCTTCTTTTTCTTAACCAGAACTGCATTAAGAAATGATTAATATGCTGTTAAGTGGAGTCAATGAACTTCTGAGTAACAGCTGATTTTACTATGCATTGAGGAGCTTTCACTTAAATATCCTCATCCTTCATTCCAGCAGTGGCTATTTAGTGTTGGTATGTATCACAATAGGTGATCTAAATATGACTCCATGCTGCAAAGCAAATAGGACAGATGAGTTGGAACCAAAACTCCCTAAAAGAAATAGATGGCTTGCCAAAAAATAGGAAACCCCCAAATCTTATCTGGATGCATAAAACCTCAATCAGAGATACTTCTGTTTTCTTTCTGAGTCATCTGAAATGATTCCTACTGAACAGATAATGAAAATGCAATTACATGCAGAGATTGAAAACTGCTTGTACATGTGTATTTGATGTTGTCTCTTTAAATGTCATCTGCCAAGGGGCTGCTGAAAGGTGGTTATCTTAGCAGAATGCTCTGGGAACTGGGAAATGTTCTTCTTTGCTGCAAAAAGCTGAAAGCAGGAACAAAACTTATGTCCTATGAAAAGCTTTTCCATGACTATGTGAAAAGTAGCCCTTCCCCGACTTGCAGATTCCCCCATGCACCTGTCCATGGGAGCTGGCAGGAACATGGCAAAGATAGCAGAGAATGATGCCAGCACAAGCCTGGGCTGCTAGTAGGAGAGGAAGAATTTCAAAGGAAGGAAAATGCCCTAGAATATCAATTAACTGTGTAATTAAAACTGCAAGGAAAAGAATGTCTGTTTCCTAACACAGCTGACTTTTGGAAACTATTTCTTCTTTTTCTCATTTTTTGCATGGGAAGAGAATAAATTACTCCTGATCTCACTTGCATTACCATTTCTTAAGAGAGTTAAGATTAGAAAGTGACTGGACAAGTAAGCAACATTCAGAAAAAGTATGTCAGTACTTTAGTGATAAAATTTGCATAACCCCTCCAAATAAGCAAACGTTGTAACACAGAGCTACCAGTGAACTGGGCCATTAACTTGGAAATCTGCACAGTGAACAGCCAGAATTCATGGAAGAGCTGCTCTAAGTGTCAAGAATTATTAGTCAGTTTTGGAGAGAGTAAGAAATACAATGTACCATCTGATTTCTTGCAGTGAAAGAGGTATAGAGTATAGCTGCAGCTTAAAGAGCTGGCAAAGCCACAGAGGGCACATTTTAACATCTATTTGCAAACATTCGTGCCATAAAATCTATTCCTCTGTGAAAATGGGAAGGATTTCCTCTGATATTATGTACTCCTCTTCTTTCTGCACTGCAAAGGTCATTGGCATGGCAACAAAATCTTCATTTCTCAGGAGTCCATCTGCTGCTGGTACACACGCCTCATCTGAACTCACATAATTCTTTTTTGATGACATCCTACTTGGCTGTTGACTGTCTGTCGTCACAAGCACACAATCACAATTTCAGGTGAAGAATTAGCAGCAGCAGCAGCAGATGGACTTCTGAGCAATGAACAAACTACTCTCTGAGATAGGGAGGAAAGAAATACAGGAGAGAAATCCTGCCAGAAAATGATTTTTTTTTTGGTAAATCTTACATTTCACGATTTCTCTAAAACATCAGCAGCTGAGGAAAATAATTTCTTTTCTGTAATCTGAATTTTGTAACAATTCACACACTGAAACATCCTATACACTAACTCTCACATGTTTATATTTTTGATTGGAACAACCTCTTAAATATTGATTACAATTCAGCAATTGTTCACAATTCCTGTTCAAAGTATTGCTAAATACTATCATGCTAAATACTATCATGCCATCAACTATGTAAGTCACTTCACTATTTTTCTAACAGCAAATATTAATCATCTGGTTTAATCAGTAACTCATCATGAATTAACTTTCACAGTATATTGGAGGCTGCAGGCAAATAATCATTAATTTATTTGTGGGACACTAGAATATGTATCATTCCAGAATGAAAAATGACCCAGAATCTGTTCTCTGTGCAGCCACAATAATTACATCAGCTTTGAAGGCAATCTACATGCAGTGTTGGATCTCAATGACAGATAATAAAGTGTCAGCTGGAGCAAAGAGTCCTCTATGGGAGGAAAAGGATCAAGCAAATTTCAGGAGAGTCTCATGTTTGTTGAAGTCACACTGTCAGAAACACCATCTGTCTGTGCCCCCCCGCTTGCCTGGTGCTATCATCTCATGCAGGTGTCACACGACTACATTGTGCTGTTCATTGTGCTGTCCTGCAGGACGTTTAACATGATGGTTTGTGTTGAGACACTGTAGTACAGTGTTGGATCACCACTTCGTCATGAACCTTGGCAAGACTACAGCATCAGACTCAGTAGTAAAAGGTAATGGCAGAGACTGCCTGATTTGGACAGCTTGAGCATGGAAACAGGCAAGGAGCATTTCACTGGTCCTGAATAGTCTGCTATTGGGTACTGCATTTTTAAAGTGTAACCTGTAGAGGTGAGGGGACTTTAAGCCTAGTGGAGGCTGGAAGAAGTTTAATGCCAGAATAGGATGCCCGTCTTGGTTCAGGAAACCTCTGTTTTGATTTTGTTTGGACCTGGTCTGAAAGAGGGAATCTGGTCTCCTCTAGTCATACTCATGTGATTTTAAATACTTTTTAAACAGAGGAAGGATTTTAAACAATCATTCTTAAACTCAGGAGTGACAGACAAGAGTCCAGGCTGCCAGGAAGGGGCACTAGGCCTCTGTGCATTGCCAGAAGATACGTTCATGAGCTGCAGTTACCACCTACTGACCAAGCTGTTCACCATTTTAAGACCAGAGCAGCACTAAGAGAGGGCTGCCAACAACCTTTAACATTGTAACATCCTGCTCACCTTCAGCAACTCTCTCTCCACCTCATCACTGACCAGGTCCGGGGGTTGCCTCCTCTCCCGACACTGCAGGTTATCGGTGGCAATGGCATATTCATGAGCTGCAGTTACCACCTACTGACCAAGCTGTTCACCATTTTAAGACCAGAGCAGCACTAAGAGAGGGCTGCCAACAACCTTTAACATTGTAACATCCTGCTCACCTTCAGCAACTCTCTCTCCACCTCATCACTGACCAGGTCCGGGGGTTGCCTCCTCTCCCGACACTGCAGGTTATCGGTGGCAATGGCATAGGGCACCTTTTTCCCTTTCCCAGCCGCAGCTTCTGGGCTGCCAGCAGGCCGCTCTCGGCATCGAGGTCCTCAATCTCCTTCTGGAGCTCAGCCTTCCAGAAGTGTATGTCCTGCAGGCGCTGGCCCAGGCTGGCTGTGGAGTCCTGCTGGGCACGCTGGGCGGTGGCAGCGGCGTGTTCGGCCAGCTCCTTGGCCTCGGCCCGGCCGCGCTCAGCCTGCTCGCAGCTGGTGAAGGCCTTGCGGTACAGATCAGCGTTGCTCTGGTGCCACTCGGGGGGCAGGT